AAATACACTCTTCCTTCCTGCTTCTATGTATTTACATCTTGTCTTGTTTCACAAAGATTTTCACAGTCTTAAGAACACATTTATTAATCAGTTTGTGTACAAGTGATGTAACTGATCTGAGAAATCACTCCTTGGCTTCCTGAGAGTCTGAGGACAAGGGAGACACAACAGACTACAAGCTCTGTCTGCTTCTCTTCTGCACAAACTGAAACAGGAGATGAACGGGTTGCAAGGGAACTGTTCTCAGAGAGCTAAACAATATTACAGTACCCCAAATTACCTTTTCAACACAAGTTGAAGCAATCTATTTGTAGTGTCTCATAGTGTGCTTTAGTTTGGTTTTTTCTCATCACAACTGAACCTGTAATAGATTAGTCTGAATTCACTGAGGCCAAAGGGTTTGCTGGGTTTTGCATAACCTGTGACTCCCACCTTGCCTCAACCTATACTAGAGTTAAAAGGCACATCTTATCTCTCACAGGAACGCTTATTTTTTCATTTTCCACCCATTTTCAAGAAACAAGAAGGGCAAAATAAACTCTTAAATAACCTGTAGACTGAGAAGACAGTGCTGAGACAGGCAAATCGGCCACAAACTTGCCCAGAAGTGTGTCATTTCAGGGGCTCACCTAGGTCACATGTGGGTGACAGCCTGTGCCCTCTACATTCACAAACACTCACACCAGCTGACCCTCCTGAGAGGCCACACTGCCATGGACTGGCCCAAGGTGCCATTCTCACAGGTGGTGCTGTGAGCTACACCTTGAGGTTGCAGGTCACTTGCTCCATCTTCTGGAAGAAGCTCGCTGGGGTGGGGTGGGGGAGTGCCACTCTTGCGAGGGCTTGCACCTGTGGGCTACGGTGGCACCTCAGCATCCACAGCCATTACCTCCTGGCTGGCATCTGCACTCTCAGACCAGCCAGCAGCACTGGCACCCTGGGATCTGGCTGTGACTCAACCATGGGCCCCCTGCCCTGCTGAGTAAAGCCCCCAGGCTAGCTCCCACTCTACTACTTTCCATCCCCCTCTTCGGATGGGTGGGAACCTCTGGGCTCTGTGGGGACAGAGGGGCCTGGGAGAGCTGGACAGAGGCTCCCCTGAGCCCAGGCCTCCTGTGCCCTGGCTGCTCCAGCAGGAAGCTGGTGCCTTGTGACTCCCTCCCTGTACCCTGGGCAGGCAGTGGGGCAGGGACACCCCCAGCCCTCCCCTTCTGGCCCCCACACCTGCCCTCCCCGCCCTAGGTCACTTCCTGGTATGTGAATAAGAAGTGAGCTAAAAGAATTCGGAAAATACGTTCTTCTGGTTTCCCCCTTCTTGTCTCATTGCAGTATCTTTACCTGGCAGTGGAGCCCAACACGAGCCTTCCATCCCTCGCACTCTGGCTGGGATGACCCTGAAGCCCCCTGGGGACCCGACTTCCTACGGGGAGTTGTGGCCGCCCTCCGCCTGTTTCCTCCTCAGCCTCAGACATTTCCCACCCACCTGACTTTCCGGGTAGAAGCCCCCGCGCGGGCGCACGTCCAGCCTGCGTGCTCCTCCCGGCCGCGGTGCGGGCAGAGCTCGGGCGCCCCGTCTGCGCGGAAATGCCAGCCCGGGTGCGCTGCCTCGCCCCACGCCGCCCCGGGCGCGACGCCCCTCGCGCAGCTGCGCCGCCCCCGCCTCAGGGCGTCCCCAGGGACCCGGCAGCTTCTCCCAGGCGCTGCAGCCGGCCCAGGCCGCTGGGCGCCGCGGGAATCCAGCCAGAGGCTTCCGCTCCGCCGTCCCCACCGCGGATTCCGACCGCAGCCATCCCCCGGCCTCTCCAGCCCCGTGCAGAGCCGGACCCGGCCCACTCCTGGAGCCACCCTTCGCAGCTGGCGTCGGCTGTTAGGCCCCCAGAGAAGCCCTACGTCTCTCGGGAGGGGCATGTGTGGCCGATTTAGCAAACGAAATACAGGACATACTGTTAAGTTTGGTTTCAGATTAACTACAAGTAATTTTTTATTTTTAATTTTAATTGTGGTAAAATGCACATAACGTAAAATTTATCGTCTTAACCAGTTTGAGTGTACAGTGAGGTGAGGTGAGTGCATGCATAATAATGTGGAACCACACCACCATACGTCTCCGGAACCCACCCTGCAAAGCGGAAAGCCTGTGCCCGCTAAACAATGGCTCCGCATCACGCGGTGGCCACCACCGTTCTACTTCCTGTAGCTGTGAATCTGACTAGCAGGACCTCATATATGTGGAATCGTACAGAATCTGTCCTTTTGTGACTGGCTTATTTCACTTAGCATAATGTCCTCAAGATTCATCCGTGTTGTAGCAAATGTCCTTTTTAAGGCTGAATTTAAAAAGGCTGAATTCCTTCCTTTTTAAGGCTGAACAATATTCCTCTGTGTGTATAGCCCACATTTTGCCTACACATTCGTCAACTTGGACACTTGTCCTGTTTCTACCATTTGACAATTCTGAATGCTGCTGCTATGAACATTAGTGTGCAAATACCTCTTTGAGACTGTGTATCTTAGTCATACTGCTATAACAAAATACCTGAGACTGGGCAATTTATGAAGAACAGAAAGTTATTTCTTACAGTTCTGAATACCGGGAAGTCCAAGATCAAGGTGTCGCATTTGGTGTCTAGCGAGGGCCTTCTCGCTGCATCCTCGCATGGTGGAAGGTCGGCGGACACCGTCCTGACGTGGTGAGAGGTGGAACAGCAAAAGGAGCCCAGCCTGTTCCTTCCAGCACTTTCATAAGGTTGCTCCACTTAATCACCTGATGGCCCTATCTCTCAATACCATCACATTGCGGTTTAAGTTCCAACATGAATTTTGGAAGGGACAAACATTCAAATCATCTGGTTTTCAATTCTTTGGGGCATATACCCAGGAGTGAAATTGCTGGAACCTTGGGTAATTCTACTTTTAAGTTTTTGAGGAACCACCACATTGTTTTCCACAGTGGCTGCACCATTTTACCTTCTCACCGGCAGTGCACAAGGATTCCAATTTCTCCACATCCTTACCAATACTTGTTATTTTCTGGGTTTTTGGTTTTTGGTTTTCTTTTTGTTTTTTGATAGTAGCCATCCAAATGGGTGTGACACTACAAGTGGTTTTTTAGTACAAGTAATTTCCTCCAAAATATTCATTGTTTATCTGAAATTCAAATATACCTGAGCTTCCTGTATTCTATCTGGTGATGCTAGCAGAGCAGGAGATGCCACTGTGACCCTGAGATCTGCTAATGGGATGTCATCTGACTCAGGTGTCAGAGTATTAGAACAGCTTGTGCCCTGGGCCCGGGGCCCCTGCAGGGTTGGCAGGGTGAGGATGAGAGGCAGGTGGAGCAGAGCGATCCCACCCCACCTGGCAGCATCCAGCCAGGACAGATGGACCACCCAGTACACCACTCATGTGGTGGACACAGAGGTTTATATCTGTGTTCTGTGGCAGTTGATAGCAGATACACCAGGAAGACCCAAGGAAGATCTCTAGCCCCAGCTCCTCACCCACTCCCAGGCTCTGCCCTAAGTCAACCCTAGGTGGAAAGAGCCACTCTGCCACCTTCTAAGGGTTCTATTAACACATATGCATCTCAGACCTAAGATCACCATTTATCCAAAAGTTAGCAGTTTTAGTTGATTTGTAAAAGGAAGGAAAGAAAGAGAGAGAGAGACTTAAAAATAAATTCCAGGTATTTTTAAATCCAAAAAGCTTAAAACTTTTAGAAAATAGGAGAAAATCTTTATGACATCAAAGCGGAGCTGGAATTCTTAAGAATAATGGAGGGGAAAGCACAAAACTATGAAAGATTTATAATTCTGACCATAGTAAACACTTCCATCCAACAAAACACCCCATAAATAAAAAGAAAAGACAAGCCTCTGGCTGGAAGAAGACCCTACAACACAGGACCAGAGAGAGTTACTACACAGAATGCTAAATATGAATTTTAAGGGGACATACTCAGTGTAAAGATGAGAATGTTTGCAGCAGGCAGTTTTTAATACCAAGATATGGGGAGTAGAGGGGAAGAAATTGAATAACCACCAACAGGAGAAGATAGATAAATGGCGGCATACTCATATAATGCAATGTTATGCAAGTGGTTCAAATGAATGAATGAGAGCTATGAGCATCAACATAGATAACTCCCAAAAACATGCAAGGCAAACAGAGCAACTCAGAGCTTCACTAGTTGTAAAACAAGGGCATAGACTGTTTAGTGCTGCTGAAGAGTGCAGTAAAAGTATGAGCAGTGAGCCTACGCGTGGCAGAGAGGGCAGGACCACGGCAGGGGCGGCACATACCACACTTCCATGCATTTCCGTGGTGCTTTGCTTTGTCAAAGTCTAGAGAGACCAGCAGTACTGCATGGGTCAGGGTTCTGGCTAAGCGATACCCTGAGCAAGACGTATCACCTGTGGGGACAAGGTGCCCGGATCTGCAGGGTAATCAATATGCCCCGACAGAGGCAGCCACAGACACTTGCGCGTACGGAGCTGCTTTCCTCACCACAAGGACATGTGAGGACAGCAAATCACAAATATGGGGTGTGAGCATTGACACATAAAATCTATTCATTGTTTTTATATCAGTTAATATTTAAAGATTTGTTGAAATTTTTTCTTAATTATATAAATCCTGATTTTTCTGACATGAAAAACAATATTCAATTAATTCACTTATGTAGAAATAAAGCATGTTCTAAGATCTATGTATCAACTTTCTAAAATCATGGAATATTTGGACTACCTTAAATAATATGCTAAATGCTAAGTCTTCGTGCCACAAACTCTTGTTTCTATTTTTATTATCTTTTGGAGCCAAGTTATCATATTTTAGAAATATCATTCAACCAGAACAGGCCAGGAGAGTGATCTAACGCTGGAAAGATCCTTGTAAAATTTCTGGAAATTTTTCCCACAGCAAATGTGGGGGAACTATGCTCATGGAAACCCAATATTTGTGAATTCCACATTTATAACATAGAGCTATTTTAAACTCACCTTCCCTTCATGAAAAATGAGCCAAAATCCTGTCTTGCAGGAGCCCAGCAGCTCTGCCCCACAGTCCCGCTGGGACAGGGGCTCAAAGGGTCTGCCCCACCAGCTCCCTGTAGAGGCCTGAACTTGCTGGCAGCTGGTCCCTCCGGCTCTGGCCCTCCAGGGCCTGCACAAGTCCCAGCAGACGTCTGATGCAGCTCCACCTCCAGTGTGCCGGACGCCAGCCTGCCATCTCTGCTCTCTAGATGCATGTTCTGTTGCCAATCTTCTCTCTAGGGTCAGCCAGAAAGAAACCACTGTTGATGAAAAGCAAACCGGGAATACAGTTTGCACCTTGGGAAATCTATACTATACCAATGGTACAATAGGAAGGCCACTTATCATGAGGTCCTTCCAGTAGTCCGGCATTCTAATATCACATGGGAAACAGTGTGTACTCATCTCCATGGATGAACATTTCAGCACATTTAGCATGAGCAGGGACCTAAGTATTTAGCACAGAGCATTTATTTAAGTAAATGGTGATCAGTACGCAGTACTGGGCAAACATAAAAATGATCCAGAGGGATATTCACTGATACTGAGAAATGTTAAGAATAGAGAAAGGAAAACTGATACACTGTGATTTTTTATTGAAATAAATATGTATAAATTATATGTATAGGACAGAAGACCAAAAAGACACACCCTCCAAATCATAGCATCCTCTGGACTGTGAAGGTACATATGGCAGCGTCTTTTTCCTTCCTTGTCTATGCTATGGTTTTTATGTTTTTTTCATCTAGCAAATTAATACTTGTATAATGAGAAAATAATAATGCCTACTATGAAAATGATAAAAATTACTACACTTGTAAGGTTATGAGGTCCTACTTCTTGGACTATATCTCAAACCATTAACCATTTTATCTTTTTATATTTTGCTAGCATCCCACAACCCCAGCAACAACCATGGCTTTGCAGAAGCCTGGAGATACGCTTTGAATGTGTCCCCCAAAGTTCATGTGTTAGAAATTTAATCCCCAGTGCAACAGTGTTGAGGGACCTTTAAGAGGTGATGAGATCATGAGGGCTCTTCCCCTCTGAAGGGATTAATGCTGTTACTGAGGTAGTTATCAGAGGCCAGCTTCACCTTCTACCTGCTTCCTGCAGCCCCTCACCATGTGGGCTTCCCCAATACATCTGTTCACTTCATCAAGCAACAAGAAGAGTCTCAATAAGTCTACTATCAGAGCAGAATGTCATATAATGTGACATAATCAAGGGAGTGACATCTGTTACTTCACCATATTCTGTTGGTTGGAGGTCAGTTGTGGGTCCTGCCCACACTCAATGGGAGGGGATCACACCAGGGTGTGAGCAGCAGGAAGTGGAGACAATTGGGCCCCTGGAGTCAGTCTGTTACCTGTGGCCAGTGCCCAATCCTGCTTGCCCACTCTGTGCCAGCACACAAGCAGCTGAAGATGTCCACAGAAAACCCTCCATGCTGCTGACAGTTGCATCCGTGCTCAGGATCCCCTGGTGGGCCCCAGCACTACCCTGCAATCCTGCTGCGTCTCCTGAGGCACCACACACTCCTCTGCCTTCCCCCTCACGTTCCCACAGGCCCACCTACCTGCAATGAGACAGAGCCAGGACCTTCTGCTAGAGTGGTGTCAAAGGAAGCCAGCTAAACAGAAGGTTTAAATAGGAATTAGAGTCTCATGACATAGTACCCCAAATATGCAAGTATTTTAATCAAAAACCACCTGTCATAGTGATAATCAGGAAAATCTCAACTTGAAAAAAACAGATAACAAACCAAGATGACAGAGATGCTAGAATTATCTGACAAAGGGCCAGACGAGGTGGCTCATGGCTCACGCCTCTAATCTTAGCACTCTGGGAGGCCAAGGCAGGAGGATTGCTCAAGGTCAGGAGTTCGAGAATTATCTGACAAAGAGTTTTAAAGTGGACAAAATAAAAATGCTTCAACAAGCAATAACAAACACAATTGAAACAAATAAAAACTAGAAATCCTCAGCAAAGAAAAGCCAAATGGAAAAGTAACACAATAACAAAAGCAAAACTCAATACATAGGCTCAACAGCAAAATGGAAGAGACAGAGAAACAAATCAATAGCTGGAAGTTAGAACAATAGAAATTATTCAATTTGAACAATAAAGAAAAAATAGACTGATAAGAATTTAACAGAACCTCAGAGACTGGTGGGACTATAATAAAAGATCTAACTTTAATGTAAACAAAATGCCAGAACATGACAAAGAGTATACAGCTTAAAAAGTATTTGAAGATATAATAGCTAAAAACTTCTCAAATGTGGCAAAAGACATAAACCTACAGAGTCAAGAAGCTGAATAAACCCCAAACAAGATAAACCCAAAGAAATCTACAGCAAGATATATAGTAGTCAAAATTTTAAAAACTAAAAACAAAGGAAAAAAGTCTTAAAACCAGCAAGAGAGAAATTAAAATGTCCTTACAGAGAAAAAACAATTTAGATGACAGAAACCAAGGTGGCCATTATTTTTCAAGTAATGGAAAAAAGCACAGTCAACCCCTAAGGCAATACAGGACCAAGGCCAGCACACCTCTCCCAAGCACTGTCAAGGAATGACCCTTGGGGATTTGAAGACAGGGCTATAAACCAGTCATAGCATTCCTATATTTGCATGCTACACATTCAATAAAGGGATGATAACAACAATCTATATAGAACTTAAGAAAATTAATAAGAAAAAAATCAAACAACCCCATCAAAAAGTAGACACAGGAAATGAACCAAAACTTTTCAAAAGAAGGCAGAATAATGGCCAGCAAACATATTTAAAAAGTGCTCAACATCTCTAATCATCAGGGAAATGCAAATCAAAACCACAATGAGATATCACCTAACTCCAGTGAGCATAGCCTTTATCAAAAAATCCCAAAATAACAAATACTGGCATGCATGTGAAGAGATACTGCAAATTAGTACAACCCCTGTGGAAAGTAATTTGGAAATATCTCAAAGAACTAAAAATAGAAATATCATTTGATCCAGCAATCCTACTTCTAGGCATCTACCCAAAGGAAAAAAAAGACATTCTATAATAAAGACATCTGCACTCAAATGTTTATGGCAGCACAATTCACAATTGCAAAGATATGGAAACAACCCAAGTGCCCATCAATACATGAGTGGATTAATAAAATGTGGTATATGTATACCATGTAATACTACTCAACTACAAAAAACAATGGTGAACTAGCACCTCTTATATTACCCTGGATGGTGCTTGAGCCCATCCTTCAAAGTGAAGTATCATAAGGATGGTAAGACAAGCACCACATGTATTTATCATCAAATTGGTACTAACTGATCAAAACTAAGGTGCTCACATAGAAGTAATATTCACTGGGTGCCAGTCAGGTGGGAGGGGGGTAGGAAGGAAAAATTCACAACTAATGGATGTGCAGCATACTGTATGGAGGAAGGGCATGCTTGTAGCTCTGGCTTGGGAGAGACAAAGGCATTATAGGTAATCAAAATGTTTGTGCCCCCATAATATTCTGAAATAAAAAAATAAACAAACCCTATCATGTTGATGAAAAAAAAAAAAGAAGCAGTCACAAAAGACCACATATTACCTGGCTCCATTTATATATGAACTCTTCAGAATAGGCAAATCTATAGGGACAGAAAATAGATTATAGGGACAGAAAATAGATTAGTTATTGCCTAGGGCTGGGGAGGAGAGCAGGAATAGAGAGAAATGAGGAGTGACTGCTAATGTGTAGGGGGTTTCATTTTGGTTTGGTAAAAATGTTCCAAAATTGATCATGGTGATGGTCACACAGTGAATATACTAAAAACCATTAAACTATGTACTTTAAATGGGTGAATTATATGGTATTTAAAATAATCACAATAAAACCATTAGAAACACCAATCAATGTAATCTACCATATTCACAGACTAAAGAAGAAAAATCACATAGTCATATGAATTGATGCAGAAGCATTTGAAAGAATTCAATGTTCATTCATGATAAGGAAAAACCTCTAAGAAAAATAGGAATAGAGGGACTTCCTCAACCTAATAAATTACATCTACAAAAAAACCTACAGCTAACCTCACACTTAATAGTGAAAAACTTGAAGCTTTCCTGCTAAGATCAGGAACAAGGCAAAGTTGTTCCCTCTCACCAATCCTAAAGAGCTCTCAAAACTCAACAGTTAAAAAAAAATTAGAAAATAGGCAAAGACTTCATTGAATAGGACATACAGGTGGCAAATAGGCACTCAAGGAGATGTTCAACATCGGAGCATTAGGGAAATGCAGATTAAAACTATGAAGAGGTATCACTACATACCTATCAGAATGGCTGAGATAAAAAACAAATAGAGACAACTCCAAATGCTAATGAGGATACACAGAAACAGGTCCCTTGTGCGTTACTGATGGAAATGTAAAATTCTACAGCCACTCTGGAAAGCAATTTGACAGTTTCTTTTTTTATTATTATTATTTTAAATTTTCATTCTTTTTTTTTCTTTTTTTTTTTCCTACTACTTGGTTCATTCTCATACCTTGAGACAGTTTCTTAAGAATTAAACTTGCAGCTAGCAGACCGACCAGTAACTGTACTCCTGGACATTAATCCCAGGTAAATAAAACTTCCATTCACATGAAAACCTGTACACAAATGTTCACAGCAGTTCCATCCAAAACTGGAAACCACCCAGATGTTTATCAGTGGGTGAGCAGTTAAAATCCATACATATCATGGAAGACTACTCAGCAATAAAAGGAACAAAGAAATGACACACACAACAACTTGGATGAACCCACAGAATGAAAACCCTGAGTGAAAAAAAGCTCATCTCAAAACATTATGTACTATGTGATTCATGTGTATAGCATTCTCTAAATGACAAAATCACACAGAGAACAGATTTGTGTTTGTGCTGGGTTGAGTAGAAGCTATCATTCCACCCCACTTCCTGCCTCTTCTCAGGGACACCAAGGGCACTGCTCACCTAGAGGTCCCTCTCTCATACATTCCTCATCCAATTCCTCCAAACATATCCTAAACTCTCCTATTCCCACCTCGCCATCACCTCTCAGGCAGATGACTGGAGTACCCCAGTCTCACAGCCTGTCCTCAGTCCCCAATGTCCTAGCACCTAGCTCCTCCTCTGGGGGACCCTCTTATCACCCCAGTTCACGGCTTCACTACCCCCAGAACCACAGCCTCAGCCCAGCTTTGCCCCATTGGACCCATGTGCCTGACCTATGGAGGGACATCTCTTGTTCCACCCTGAGGATCCCACAGAGGAGAACCTAGCCCTGCACTGGGGCTGGGCCCACTGGGGGCTGAGCCCTGTTGGTACAGACACTTTCAGGCAGCTAGAAAGGGACCCTGGGGTGGCAGGGACAGGGCAGAGTGTGCACAGATTCCACACCACCGCCCGGGGCAACTGCACCCAGGCCCCTCCTTCGGAGCAAGACTCACACTGAAATGACCAAGTTGTTACCAAATTTTAGGGAAAAAATAATAGATGGTTGTGGCTCACTTTTAGGAAAAAAAAAATAGATGGTTCAACCCAGTGGAATCTTCCAGTCTTCACAGCCAACTATCTGGCTACTGCCTGCCCTTCCTCAGGCTCTGCTTTCTTCCCCACCAGACTTGTAGCAGCACCCCCACCTCCTCCCAGTCCTGCAAGGTCTCTGGCCCTCGGCCCCTCCTGCCGCTCCTTCTGTCCCCATGGTCTCTCAGATGTCCTGGAGGCCCTGCCCTCACCTGGCGCTCACCCACCCTGACCCAGGCCCCAGATGCTCCTCCCTCAGATGTGCCCAGGGCAGGTGCAGGACAACAGCGCTGGGTGTGAGCATGGCCAGAAGCCAGGCGCAGCTCGCGGGGCAGGGCACTGAGCACAGCGCTGACACCTGCCCCTGCCCAGGAGGGGACCAGTTTCTACCTCTGGGCCTTCTCCACTTGGTCCAGCAGCCACTGGCAGCGGCTCTGCCCAAGAAAAGGACCCAACACTTGGGTGTGAAAAGGGAGGATGGCTGAGAGCCGTGCTCCCAGATGCTCAGACTAGGCCTGGACACCCCCAGCCCATGCTGAGGGCTCTGACACGCCCGTGGAGATTTGGCTGGGGTGTTCTGGGTCTGGTGGGTGGGCTTTGGTGGCACTTACGGAGCTGAGCCCGGGTGCACGTGAGCTAGCGGGGGCACAAGGGACAGGAAGCAAAGGCAGGCGCAGAGGGGTCCGAGGACCCTGCCCTGGTGCCCACCTGAACAACCGCTGGCGTGCTGGGGCGGCGGGACCCAGCTCCACCCCTGCGCGTGGCGCCAAGTAGATTAACCCCGGAGAGCAAGGCCCGCCCGGCGATTTTACAGTCGCAGCAATATACATCATGTGGAAAATAGTTTCTTCGTAAATTTTAAGAAAACTTATCTTCGAGTTTTTCAGTCATTTGACATAATACAATAATGAGAGGAAGGAACAAGGTCACCGGCTGCTGTGAAAACCTTGCGGTTAAAGAGAAATCCCTGCGCAACCAATCCTCTCCTCCGGCGGGAAATATCTGAAGTCCTGTGAAAACACCCGTGTTATTG